TATAAGATATTATTATAGCATTTAAAAAATGAGAAAACCAAGGCACAGAAAGATGTGCTTAAAAAACAAAAAGCATCAGACTGAGCACTTCTGGGCTTGGGATCCAGTCCCGGGGACACATTAGTTGGTATGAGTTTTGAGTAAGGTCAGAACGTTCCCTGAGTGTTTTCCTTCTGTGTAGTGGGCATAAAGTCATAAACATCCAATTATTATGTATTATGGGTCAGGCACAGGATAAGCATTTTCCCTGCATTATCTTGTTTAATCCTCCTCACCGGAGGCAAATGGGGTAGGTGCTATTGTCCTCGTTCTACAGGTGAGGAAACCAGTCTACAGCGGCTGAGTCACAGCTGGGCGCACTGTGCCCGAGCTGCGATCCAAGTCCAGGTCCCTGTCTCCAGAGCCCTTGCTCTTAATCCCCGTGACCTTTCCAGCCTCAGTACCTTTAGCCTTGCTGTTTTCTCTACCCATAATTCTCTTCTTCCAGATTTCTCTAAAGCCTGCTTAATCCCACGCATTAACTCCTAACTTCAGGTTTGCCCAGGTTTTCCACCCCCACGCCCTCAGGGCTGTTGTACTGCCTAACTCCAGGGGGCGCTGTTCACGTATAACGCAATGTGAATGGTACCTCCTAGGAATTGAGTAAGGTAGCAACTCTGTTTTCTATCACGCCATCTGGTTTCATTTTACTTTTTAGCACTCACCCTTAACTAAAATGCACTGTTTCATTTTTATAACTTTATTTTACTTATGGTATGTTTCCCCCCAAGCATACGTCAACTTCATAAGGCCACAGACTGGTCTTAATTGCTACTGTTTGCCCAAGACTTAGGGACAGGCCCATAGTAGGCGCCTAATCAATTATTTCTAGATGTTCTTGTATGTTATACTGACTTCCAAGAGTCCTTTCCTCGTTGGAATCACAAAGTTGTTGCAGAACAAAGATGGAGGACATCCTGGGCAGCACGAAGATCCTGATGTAGTAGTAAGTGAGGATTACAAACTATTTCTTACATTTTGCTGTGCTTCAAGTTTTGGGAGCTTTGCAGCAAATTAGGACTCCCATGTCATTGACCAAATAGATATTTATTGGACAAAAATGAAGAAGTCTCAGACTATCATGTGTTGGCTAAGATACTGATCAACATATATCAGTTTTATATTTTAGATGGGAGTGTACCTTGGTTCAAGCACTTTGAAAACTGGTTAGTTGTGACCTGGGCAATGGAAATAACCCAAATGTCTAGTGACAAGACAACAGACAAATAATGTGTGCTGTAGAAATTTCTGAACCCTTGAAAAATGAATTAATTACAACCATATTTAAAAACCTAGGAGAACCTTAGTCAAATGATCCTAAATTAAAACAAGCAAGTCCCAGAAAATTACTTAAAATTTGATGCTCTTTAAAAAATGTTTATTTTTTAAAAATGTAAACAAATATGCAGGACAAAAAGAATGAGAGAATGGGCAACTCAACACTCACCATCGTGGCTACCTCGGGTTGGGGTAAGTAGGGAAGATTGGGAAGGAGAATACAATGAAATGTAAGCTGTTGTCAGTGTCCCGGTTCTTGGGGAATTTCTGGCATTAAATCACCTGCGTCAACGCCATTATTTCATATTCCTCCTTCTACGTGGAGAGAATTATAGGAGATGGACCCAAAGTGACTTGTTTTTTTAAATCGTTGTCTGAGTACATTTGTTCATTGCTTTGAGAGAAAGAAGGGGGAGAGAGATATAGATAGAGAAATAGGGAAACATCGACAGGTTGCCTCTCATAGGCTCCCCGACCGGGATCGAATCTACAGCCTTTTGGTGTATGGGGGATGATTCTCCAACTGAACCACACAGGCCAAGGCCAAAGGCCACTCTTGAAGAACGAGCTGGGTCCAGGGTTACATCTACTTACCTCTGTATTCCCAAGGCCTGTGTGCAGTGTCCAGGAAAACGCAAATCCTCTGTGAAGTTTCTTGAATAAATAAATAAATATGTGAATATATATGAAACAAAGCGAAGTTCTTTTGGTCAATGTTGACTGCAGTCCGAATAACCACTCGCTCCCTGGCTCTCCCCGCGCCCTACACACAATGAATCCTGTCACCGATTTCCAGATTAGCTGAAAGTAAAAACACCGACATTCCCCCAGAGCAGTAAAACACCACCTAGCATTCTCCATATAGACCATTTCACAACATCATCCACACTGGGCCGTGTAGGGACAAAAGGATTCCAACTCAAATACAGTACGGAAAAAGCTTTTTAATGCACTTTTCCCCCCCACTCAGGCAAAAGAGCTTCAGAAAACATCCATCATTAAGTAATTTTACAAATGGCACTTTTGGCTACATTAGAGAACTGGAGATGAGTCCCCTGTGTTCTTTTCTGATAGGTTAGTAGTAGATCAGCTTTAGAATGCAACCCTTTCTTAGAATAAAAAATAGTAAATTTGTTCTGAAAGACAGGAAAACTGAAAACCTAAAGTCACTGTCTTAAATTTTTAACACTTATTTCATGCTACACTATTTATTTTTACCTGATAATTTTAAGTATTGTGCTACAATTTTTAATAAAGGAAGAACACAAATTTCAACCTAATTTAAAAATAAACATATATATGTTTGTATATATATATATATGTTTATTTATATATAAATGTTTATATATATATATATAAATAAATGCATTTGACAACAGCATATGCTAACTTTGACAATGACCTTCATTTTGGTACACTGCAGATTGGTCTTTTTGATACTGAACTGAGGAAAAATATATTATATCCAAAGGTCCTCCTTCAATGAGTAAATCCATAGTCAGTGATAGACTCCAACTAATTAGCAAAACTGAAAAGAGTTAGTGTGATCATTTATGAACAAAATAAAATGGGATTAATACTCAGCAGGAGAGAACAGTTACTGTCATCCACTTAAACAGGGCTTGAGTATCTGAAAATGTGAGACCCCACTTGGAATTGAAGGCTACGATGTTTGAATTATTCATCGCTACCACTCCGACACTCGCACCTTCGAGATGGCGTGAAGTTGATCACGGCTGATCTACTCAGACACGGATACCTTCTTCATGCTCCTCATCACTTGTCCACTAGTCCCCCGATCAATTTATATGATTATTTAATAGAGATGAACAATAAAACATCACATAATAGGATCAATCCAAAAGGCAGCTGCGTTTTCCTCTGCACACACAACAGCGTTAACAAACATGGCTTTCGGATTTGCACTGATAGAACACACCACGCTGGTGAAGAAACACAAAGGCTACGTCCATCTTCACCATAAAAGCATAAACGCATTACACCAACACTCGAAAAACCAAACGTTCTTCTCTGGGAACGAAGAAACCATTTCAAGTGATTCTCAATGAGGGAACCCTCACATGCCACATACTGCTATGCACAGATGCCGGCCCACATTGAAATAAAAGTTCTTAGAAATACTGCTCATTGTGAATTTAGAATAATTCTTGGTGTTACGTTTAGGACTGGAGTTTCTAAATGTTAAAGCAGTTCTACTGTCAACATACCAAACAAAACACTTATTTTTTAATGATGTGATTTAACAACCTGAGTCGATTAAAATGTATACCCTTCACCCGCACAGGTACCTGGCACCATCTGCATTTGTAAGTGCCCCAAAGCCAATGACCCATGTTCACCAAAACTACCCTGCGCTGGAGGACACTGGACAGGAAAGGATGTAGGCTGGGGGGCAGGAGACTGGTGTTTGGCCTAGGCTCTGGACCCAACAAGATTTGTGAGTTAATGAGAGAGACTTTTCCAGGCAAAGACAGAGAAAGAAGGTATGCCAGGGAGGAGACACTGCATGTGCGGAGGCTGAGGGCACTAGACAGGCCCCTGGGAAGAGGGGCAGCATTCCCTCCAATTACAGCGTAAGGAGGTCACAGGTGGGCTGGAGGGGGAGCTAAAGTGAAGCTCTCTTGGCCTTACATAGAATTCTCAAGCATTTGGCCTTTCAACCAAGAGTGATGAGAGCAGGGGAAGACCACTCCTCCCTCCCTCCCTCCCTCCCTCCCTCCCTCCCTCCCTCCCTTAACTTCATTATGCACAGGACCAAAGAGATCCGTGACACTCTCAAATAGATTTCACAGGCAGGCAGCTGTGGGGGGTAAATAAAGCCAGACACTCACTTCTCTGGGGCTTAGGTTGGCTAAAGGGAGGTGACATTATGCCAGGGTCCATGATTACGGGCTTTAGGAAGTGAGTCAAGTGTACAAATAGCATGCAAAAAGATGCCATTTCTCGAAAGGCCTTTGGACAGCGGGGCACGGAAACCATTTAAGACTCATCTCTTAAAGACATTATAAAAATCTTTTCAAGTGGAATGGTAAGGCCTCCCATTTATTGGTTGCATAAGATTAACTAACCTCTTCACAAGTCAGTTTCCTTAGCTGTAAAATGAGGGTAATGATCTTGACCTCATGGGTCAATAAGAATAAGTAATGAATAGTTTTAGCACAGCACCTGGTACAGACTAAACCTTCAACAGAAGGTCCCTAAAGAGGGAAAGGCTAGGGGCAGGGGTGACCCAGGCTTTAACAAGACAGAAGCCCATGTTTGTACTGAGGCTTCTATCACTTTTCACTTTCTGCAGCTGGGTGAACTTAGAGACCATTTTAAACTTGCTTGGACTCAGTTTCCACATTTGAAAAGTGAGCATGATATACCTACCTTGCAGGGTTGTGATGAGAATTAGGAGAGATGGTATTTGTTAAGATCTGTAGCACAGAGACCGGCATACAGTATAAACGCACATATGATAATATGTATGGAGAGGATAATGTTTCTCAAATGCACACGGACAACATTAACATTGGCCATTGTATCTTACTTCACATCCTCTGACCACAGCTACAGGTCAGAAAAGTTGGATTGCACAAACACAGTGGCAACATCTTTCAGGTGGCATGTTGGTTCCACTAGTACCAATACATTATGATAGCCTATCACAAAAAAGTGGCTGAGGTACATCATCCATATTTTATTTTGTTAATGCATCATAAGAAAGTAACTTCATCATTCAGAATTCATTATATGAAATTAAAAAGAATTCAGTGTTCCCTGACTCCCTAATTTGGCACGTTGAGGAATTTCCTCTATACACCAAGACCCAAAATACATTATTTTCTAGATAAAAAAAAAAAAGAAAGAATCATAATAGTGAGAAAGAAGGAAACATGCATATATACAAGTGAGCTGAAAAGTCACAATACACAAGAATTGCTTTTGGTGAAAAATACCGCATTCGGTGGTGCCAAGTGCACCCCCGTGTACAATGCACACCCACGGTTCTGTGCACATTATACACGGGATTGTTAGGCCCATGCTGTGCAATCATTATACCCACGTATAATGCTCCTCCTTATCCTCCCCCCCCCCAAATTGGGCAAAAAGTCATATTATACATGGCAAAACACAGTAATCTTGCCAAATGAGCAGCACGTCATGTCCTTAGAATATGTTATACTAGAAAGCTAGTAGCAATGCAGGCCAGGAAGGCAATTTAGTTTCAAGTTTTCATCACATATGGGCCAAGTTCTAGGATACTTCACTTAAAAAGGGACAACCTCAGAGTGAAATCTTGCCAGAGGCTTGATCTGGATCATATGTGTACGTACAGACTTCTCTGTTTTGACATTCAACACGCTCAGCATTAACTCCAGAAAGTTGCAGTAGCTGACAGAACAAAATGCTTTAGACTCAGACAGAGAAAATGGCAAACAATTTGAAGCGGCATCTCCCTACCTGCCCACCCATATCATCCCATCGCTTTTGTCTGTCAACGTATGTTGAAAACATATGTAAAAAGTTGATACTAAAGGCAGGAATTAAGAAAAAGCCATTTTTTGATGGCTTTTAAGCACTCGAATGCTTTAGAACCTCCTTCAAAATGCGAATTCGCAGATACTATTCCTTTGTTGCTTTAATTTGAAGCTCAATGGAATCTAGATTCTCTAATAAGCAGTTCCACGCTCATTTCGGTGAGGCTACACTCAGGAGTCTGTAAAAACTACGCTACTGACTCCCTACAAAGGGGACTTGAGCACGTGGCTGTTTTGGCTAGAGAAGCATTTCAACAACTTTCTGCAAAACTAAGATAAAAAAAAACAGTGGATGAGAACTACAAAGAGCGATTCTACAATCAGAAAACTCTGTGTCCCAAATATGTTCTACACTGACATAAGTTGTTGTTTTTAAGATGCATTACCCAGTCCTTCCACATTCAAACAGCGTATGAAACTCGAATTAGGATGTGTGTGCACGGAGAAAAGATCTGTATGTCCAAAGCCACCCACGGGCAAGGAAGTCTTGTCATTGGGTTGCTCCGTGTTGTTTTGGTGTCACTCATCTGCAGGCCACTCGAGGGGCCCACCCCCCGCTCAGCACTCCAACTCCTCCATGACCTCCATGACGATGGTCCGAGGGCCTGTCAGAATCAGGTTGCTCACGGTCCGGTAGTCTACATGCAGCACGTTGAGCCCATTGACAGAGACGACAAACTGGCAGACCTGAAGGCAAGACGAAGGAAAAGCATCCGTTATGGCTCCTGGCTGTTCACAGTCCTCTCACAAAGGCACTGTGTGGTTCTCACAGGCCACGCCATCCTGAAAATACCCAGCCACTCCCAGCTGGCAACAGCAATTCAATCATTTCCAAGAAACTACACTTTTCCTGGAAGGCAATATAATGGAGAAAGCATTTGTTGTAGAGATTTTACAAAATTGGATTTAAATCCTCACTTGGGAACTTACTAGCTTCAGCCAGGTATTTGCATTCCTGAGCTTTCTTTTCCTCAACTGTAAAGTAGGGATGATTAAAAGTAATGCCAATAATACCACCTATAAGATTGTTTTAACATCTACATGGGGTAAAGTATGTGAAGCTTCTACTACGTTCCTCTGACCCTCTGGGGTACTCAATACATAGTCACAGTATTTATGGCTGTTATTATTCATTCAGGCCCAATGTATAGGGGGACCCCATGGCCCGGTATTTCTAGGACAGTCTTCTTTTATTCCTATCCTTCCTGCATAATTATTAGTAGTGCCTCCTTTGACTTGCCAAGGTGTCCCAGTTAATAAATAATGAGAGGCCCCTCTGGATATGTCATGGGGAGCTTGTTACTGACCCACAGCCACTGCCCCAAATGAAAGTTCTTCTCGTGAAGTTCATGGTGGCAGCAGGTACTGGGTGTTTTCACTTAGCTGGCACGCATGAACAGATGGTATATCCGCTGTATGTCTGAAGATGTAGATATTTGATATGAGCGATTTGGTTATGTTCACTCAAATAGAAAATGGAGAAAACACAGATCTCCAGCTGTCAGTGATAAGAGCAAAACAGAATCAAAGAGACTGTAAGCCCATACAGTACCTGGCACAAAGCAAGTACTTGTTGGAGGCTGAATAATATCCTGACCCCCCAATGATGGCCATGTCCTAATCCCCAGAACCTATAAATATGTTAGTTTCTACATGGCAATGGAGAATTCAGGCTGCAGATGGAACTGGGTTGCTAAGCAGCTGATTTTAACAGAGAAATTACTCTGGGTTACTCAGGTGGGCCCAATGTAATCAGAGGGGCCCTTATAAGAGAAATTATCACTTTGCTTAGTGGGAAAATAAGAAAATAAAAAGAAAATAAAAATGGGAGAGAAAGACAAATGGGAAGAAGGGAAAGAAGGTGGGTTCAGGGGAGGGAACGGGGAAGGTTTGGTTGACATTGGTTAACTTAATGATGTTTCCTACGTCTGTTGTTCTGCTGTTACGATAACATTTCTTTAGGTACAATGCCCGAGTAATTCCTGTGCACACTTGCTCCCAATTATTAATTAATCACCATTAACTCAAATATTGTGAAAATGCTGAAACTCTTGACAACCATCCTTTGGGGTTGCCAAATGGGAGGGCAGAAGTTGCCAGGTGCGCTCATGCTCTGCCTCGCCCTGCGCCAGCGCGCAGGGACGAGATGTGCCTGTGTCTTTGAACCTCACCTTCAGCACTGAGGCTCAGCCAGAGCTGTATCCTATCCCTCCCATGCAGTGCTTGTTTGAAAGGTCAATATTTGGAAGTTAGGAAATTTTAACATTAAAAATACAGATTTTTTCCATTTTTATTACAGTGAAAACACTTAATTATGTTTCTTTACATATTAAGTCACTTGTCGATAATTTTTAGTTTACTAGTCGCCATCTGATCTTCAACTGGACCTGATTATAATTGTACTATACCCATGAAGGTAGGAGACGTGTCTAGGGCGTGTTCTAAGGAGGCTCCTCATTTTGAAGCTGAATGATTGAAAAAAGAAAAGCTATTATCAACCTATTAGGACTAGTAGCAAATAATGACTTAATAAACATGAGGTTATGAGTCCCCTGTATGAAGGAACCACCTGTGTTGACAAACGGCCCCCCTCATCAGTTTAAACATAATGAAAAGTAACATTTTTAGTTAACCTCACTCTGCAGCTTGCTATGGATTTTATAATCACTGTTAATTATTCTGCATGAAAAGACAGAGAAAATTATAGCCATTGATTCCAGCAGTTAATTGGGTGTTAATGGAATGTCATTTTGCATTGTGGTCAGAGAATATGCTTGTCATGATTTCAATCTTCTCGACTTTGTTGAGACTAGCTTTCTGGCCCATCATGTGATCTAGCCTTGAGAATGTTCCTTGAGCACTGGAGAAGAATGCATAATCTGATGATCTGGGTCGAAAGGCTCTGTAAGTGTCAATTATGTGCATTTGGTCTACTGTGTCATTTAAGGCCACACACACGCACAAAAAGTACAGGTTCTGGCCTTTTTGGAACAGTCTGAAGATGTAATGATATCACATCTGGATGGGCACTTGGCAATGGCTGAGAAAGGGTCACTCCCTTCTAGATGGGCACATTTTTCTCATTTCTTATCACTTCCCATTCAGTTCAAGTGGTAACTTGAACTAAAAAAAAAAGGTAATTTGTTTTCATTTGTGTGTGAATGTGTATGAACACACATTAATTTCTCAAATACCAAATTTTGTGACCAACTCACTCTTCTGTAAAATAAAGCTGATTCAAGGCTACCTAGGCATACAAACAGCCTCACCCCTGCAGGCCCACAGGCTCTCCCAAGCAGCAGAGAACAAGGGTGGGGTTGGAGCAAAAGCACCCCACTCCTGCCCCATCCCCCTTCCCTGTGCCACACCACCTGAGCACTCCTCTGGGGGTGCTGAGATTATGGCAAAACACATAGGGTGCTGGGGGGAAAACTATAGCATTTTGTACCAATTGGTGTGTGGAGATTAAATAAAATGAAGATTTAAATAGCTCAGTCCTTGCCTTCACGAAGCTTATAATTTAGTTCAGGAGGAAGAGTATCTCAGGTAGGGTCCTTTTCAAAGCAGCAGGTGATTCCTTAATAAATTCTGTTGTTTATTAAAACCCATTCTTTTCCAAGTACCAATCAAGGTACTTTACCCACTTTACCGAAAATCCTCCTAACAGCCATGGGTGACATCTGTTGGGTTTTGGCCATACACCTGCCATTCTGCTGAAAGCAACCTGGTATCTTTTTTGGGTACCACCTTTCTCCTGTGGTGGGCAATAGAGATGGGAATACCAATCAAGATGTCCTCCTGTATCCTTGGGTCACCTGACCCAACTTTGGCCAATCAGACTCTCTCCTGGACCACCGAACCTGGGGCTGAGCAACACAGAGACAAAGTTTATTTGCCCTGGGACTTAGTGCCCCAGATCAGCCCTGGTTCCTGTCCTAGTCTACCAAGCCAGGTTGTCTAGATTGCTACATTATTGATACCCTTCCAATCACTTTCTTTTTTCCCCTTATAATAGCTGTTTTCTACATTCCATGATCTGCAATACAATCCCTGTAAAAAAGACAGCATCTCAGAGTGCCGTCTTAGGGTCACACAACTAAATGCCACATCTGGAATTTGACCTCCACAAGATGCTGCAGCCCCCCATAAATACAAGTTAATCAAGTGCAATATTTACATATGTAAGTGTGAGGAAGTCTAGGTCCCCTCAGATACAGGGGTGGGCAAAGCAGGTTTACGGTGGTTCAGATGGAAAAAGACATGAAGGTTATGATTATTATAATAGCTTGATTAACTCTAAAGAATGCCACAATTTTCTCAGTTAAGGTTGGGTTGCTTTTTGTGTCACTTAAAATCCTCAACAATATGTAAAATAAAGACATTTATTTCAAGTTGTTTCCTTGAATGAGGCAAAAGGAATTTTATCACGCCTATTTTCAAGGCAGTATTTTTAGAGTCGGGCTGTTAGGAGAGACATTATTTCTCCCTAAGTGGTCCCAGCAGCTGCTGTGGTTCCAGCAGTGCTGACGTCCTGTTACTAATAATGTGCAAAATGACCAAGAAGTACAGGGACAACTCTGTCACGTATTTGGTTATAACGAACTTTGAATTAGCATCTACGGTAGACTATGTTCTGCAGATAAACATATTACAAGTAACTGCAGGAAGTGCACAGCCTGGGGAAGATTATTTTCCTTCTGTATTAAAAGGCTAATACATGCAGACAAACAGAACATGTGATGATCTCTGAACAACCTACCTCACGTACATATTACCTCCTACCTGGGCTCAGGAGACTTAGATGCCAAACATAGGTGGTAATGAGAATCCATGTGAAGATAAGATGGTTTTTTCTACTTTATCAGATCTGTTTTCAAAGATTTGATTACAATTCTCTCATTTTTCCCAGTTCATAGACAAGAAATCATTCATGAGCTCATGTGATTCTCTAAACTCAATCTACAAAAAACAGAGTAGCTTAACTTCTTAAAGAAAAGATATGGAGGGCATTATCCTCAACGAAAATGAAGAACAAAACCTTCCTGAGTCATAGGTAAGTGATGTCTCCAAGCAACAGGGCAGTGGAGAAAAGTATTACAAACCACAGTAGGTCTGGAAGGAGTTAACAGGACAAGGGAGGCAGGACTCGGCACATTTCAGGGTGTGATCAGCTGGGATAAATACCTGGGCGAACGCCATCCAGCCTTTCCTCCTGATAAGGAGCCAAACCAACCAATAATCTTGCTTCTAATTCCTCTCCCTGAGCCAGTCCTGGCAGATGTCTGACAACCTCTGGACAGACTGATGCCCACGGGACTGAGCAACTGTGCACTGGTTTTTGTGTGGCTGGAAAGAGATCATAATTATTCAGTTGTTTCATCCAAAGTGGGAGTGAGGTTGGGGAGAAACCCTACACCTAGGATTACATAAGTGTCTTCTCGCTGCTATGGAAATCTGTGTCCACCAAGACATTTCCTGGAAATGAATGTGCCCATGCATTGTTTATGTGAATGCTACTTTGCTTTCTCTCTCTCTCTCTCTCTCTCTCTCTCTCTCTCTCTCTTCCTCTCCCTCCTTGAAAGAAAATGAAAGATTAGAGGTTAAGATTGCTTGGACAAAACATTTAGCAAGACAGAGACCAAGAGAAAGTTCTGGAGACAGAAAAAGTCACAAAAAGAGGTAAAGAC